CAGGGTGGCAGAGCCCTGGGCCAGGCTGCCCAGAGGGGCTGTGGAGGCTCCTTCTCTGGAGACTTTCCAGACCCATCTGGAGGTTCCTGTGTGACCTGCCCTGGGTGTTCCTGCTGCAGCAGGGGGGTTGGACTCTGATCTCCAGAGGTCCCTCCCAACCCCTCTGATTATGATTCTATAATAACGGTGGTTCCATCAAACATGAGATGTTTCCTAGAAGAAGAAAAATGAAATTAATAATAATAATAACAACAATAAATCAATCCACACTTTTTAGAAGTGATGTCAAACACACACACAGGTAAAACATCCACAGCTTGAAACCTGATGTTACCTGAGGGAAATCATCAAGAATTAAAACCAAATCTTTCACACTGATGTCCAGGGGTTTCTCACCCCTTTGATGGAGTCACCAGCCGTGTTTAATTTATCTAATTAATTAATGTTTCTCACTGTTCATTTGTTGTGTGACTAATTGTGTCACTCTGACCCTCACCCCCCCTCCACAGACACACTTTCCTCACAGACACCCAAGCCCCACCAGCAGAGCTGCTGCTCCCCAGGCTTGGTGACCAGTTGTCCCCGTGGTGAGTTGGCAGGTGTAGAAGTGTCCAGTGGCCAAATGGTGGCCTTCATTTGGCCAGTTGTCCCTTTCCCACACTGGGATGAGCTGGAGAAGCTGCCACCCAGGTGTATCCTGAGGCAAAAAGAGCTGGGAATGGAGATTGCTGCATTCCCACCTAGTTGGGGATGGGCATCCCAAGCTCTTTCCTGTGCCTGGTGGAGGTTGGACAGGACAACCTGGTGGCCCCACGGCTGCTCACGTTCCCTGTGTGGAGGCACAAGGGGTTGGGTTGTCTCTCCCCAAGGTGGGACACAGGGATGCAGAACCTGGTGGGTCCTACCCATCCGTTGGGCGACGTCCTCCATGAGCTGGGCCACCTGGAGCTGCCCGTGGGTGGTGAGGGTCTCCTCCAGCACTGGTGGCTGCAGGTTGTGGGGCACAGGGGGCCCTGATCCTTCCAGCTGCTCCTGCAGCTCCTCCTGGGATGAATATCAGGATGGTGGTGATGGAGAGGAAGGGCCCACAAGTCCTACCACAAACCACCACCAGGTTCCAGATGGGGTCTTCCCCATGGACACCCCCCCCCCCCTCAGCATCCCCCAGGGTTTAACCCCCCAGGAAGGGGAAGACCTGGAAAAACCCTTCAGAAGGACACAAGGA